GTGGCCTGAAGACGTGCAGCGCCTTTTGGATGTAGTGTCATTCCTGAGAAGGTGGGGAAGCCAGCTCCCAGAAGGCAATAATGTTTCTGCACTTGACTTTCAAATGTGATCTGTTTTCCAGCCTTTCAGGGGATCCTTTTCCCTAGGACCAGTCTCCCCTTGAGTCGTCTGTAGAAAAAACAAAAAAAAAAAAAAACCAGAAAAAGCCCTCCGCCCTTTCTTCCAGCCAGCTATCTTGGGGCTTCAGCCATTTTGGCCCTTCCTTCTGGTGGTATATGGTTCTCCCAAACTGCAGAGCCTAGTTCAGCCAAGGCTGGAGGGGTGGGCTTGTGCATTTCAACACTGAAGGGCTTGTTGAGGGTCTGACCCGCTTACTGGCGCCATCAAGAAACATGGCTAAGTGGCCGGAGTGGAGTGGGGTGTGCTCTGAGATCAGCATGAGCTAAGGAAGTGCTCTGGGGTCAGCCGGGAGGGAGCCGCCACTCCTTCCTGGCAGGTCCGGGAGGTCAGTGCCCTTGGTTGGCGTTGGTCCTTGAAGGATGAGAAAGATTTCAGGGTGGGGAAGAGGTGGGCAAAACTGGGCATCAGGAACAGCATGAGGAACACCGTGACAGCACCATGGCCTTCCCATAGGCCTTCCTGCCCCGACCGCACTGCCACCCACAGGCTTCCTTTCCCAGTAACAGAAAAATGTTAAAACACAAACCAATCTGCCTCCTTAGCACAATAGGCATTGCATCAGTCTCAGAAAACACAAACCAGATCAAATTGTTTCCATCTTTAAAATCCTTCAATGCTTGCCACTGCTCCTAGGAAACGAAAAATCTACATCCTTACTTGGGCCTCTGTGTCAGCGGAACCCTCTCCCTGCTCCACTGTGTCGCAGCCACACTGGCCTCCTCCTACGTCTGTCACACTTTCTCCTGCCACAGGGCCTTTGCACTTGCTGTATGTCCCTTCTCCTGAAGGGTTCATTCCTGCTGTCTTTATCCTGCTAACTTCCAGATCATCGCCTCAGAGACCTTCTCCCATCCAGACCCTTTCTATCCTCTGGGGCTTCACCCTCATCACGGTTTGTAGTTATTTTTCTGTGAACTTATGTGGATGAGATTGTAAACAACATGAGGTCAGGGCCTGGAGTGGGTAGGCTTTCTTTTCTACTGCATTCCTGGCATGAAGTACAGTAAATCAGTGCCTGACACGTACATGGCCATAAATATCTGCTGACTGAATGAATGAATGAAAGCACATGTTAGGTTCTAGCCTTCCAGAGTGGCTGGAGAAACAATTTTTCAAACTGTGCCCCACCATCCATTACGAGGGTGTGAAATCAGTTTAGTGGGTGATGTCCAGCATTTTTTCAAAATGACATAGAATAGAATAAAAATAATCACAGCACACTGAGTTAAGGAATGTTCTGGAAATCGTTGTGTGGTTATATGTGTATTTGTACGTCACGATATAAACGTATTTCTCCAAGATTAGCCAAGATAAATCTGAAGAAGAAAAGCCGGCAGGCGGACTTGCCCTACCAGGGATCAGGACTTGTCACGAAGCTGCAGTAATCCAGACAGTGTGGCTTGGGGAGGGGCAGACAAACTGACAAACGGGACAGAAGAGAAAGCTACACACACACCACACACAACAGAGCATGCCAGAGCTGTGGGGAAAGGAGAAACTGGAAAAAATTATTCCCTGTGTGGAAAATTGCATTCCCACCTCACACATATTTTTAAAAAATCAACTCTCAATAGATGAAAAGAACTTAAATGTTAAAACCAAACATTAGGCCGGGCGCGGTGGCTCACGCCTGTAATCCTAGCTCTCTGGGAGGCCGAGGTGGGCGGATTGTTTGAGCTCAGGAGTTCGAGACCAGCCTGAGCAAGAGCGAGACCCCGTCTCTACTAAAAATAGAAAGAAATTAATCGGACAACTAAAAATATATAGAAAAAAATTAGCCGGGCATGGTGGCGCATGCCTGTAGTCCCAGCTACTCGGGAGGCTGAGGCAGAAGGATCGCTTGAGCCCAGGAGTTTGAGGTTGCTGTGAGCTAGGCTGACGCCATGGCACTCTAGCCTGGGCAACACAGTGAGACTCTGTCTCAAAAAAAAATAAAAAAAAACAAACATTAAAACTTTTAGTAGAAAATATAGATGAATATCTTCTAGACCTTAAGGTAAGCAAAGATTTTTTAAACAAAACACAAAAAAATATTGATCATAAAAGGTTGGTGAATCTGACTATATTACAATTAAGAACTTTGGTTCACTGAAAGACATCTTAAATTGCAAAGTTAGCCTGAGCAAGAGCAAAACCCAGTCTCTAAAAAAAATATAAGCAATTAGCCAGGCATAGTTGTGTGCCTGGAGTCCCAGCTACTCGGGAGGCTGAGGAGGGAGGATCGCTTGAGCCCAGGAGTTTGAGGTTGCAGTGAGCTATGATTGCACCACTGCACCCTAGCCAGGGCAACAGAGTAAAACCCTGTCTCAAAAAGAAAGAAAGAAAGGGCAAAGTCAGGTTGTAAACTGAGAAACTGAGAGCAGGTATTCCTGGTGTGTACCCTTGACAGAGATTAGTGTCAGGAATCCAAAGAGCACAACAGCACCACAGAAAAGTGGGTGGGAAATGGAGCGTGCATTTCACCAAGGAGGCGACATGTGTGACAAAAAACAAACAAACAAACACATGAAGAGATGTTTGGCATCATCAGAGATCAGGAAAATGCAAACTGAGGCCAGAATGAGTTACTATTTCATATCTTTTCAACCATTTACAAAAATAACAAAGACTAACGATACCAAATGTTGGATTTCTGGGATCTTTTATACACTGCTGATGGGATTGCAAATTGGGACACAATGACTGGAAAGAGTTTGGCATTTTCTCCTAAAGCTGACTATTCACCTAGTTTATAACCCAGCAATTCTACTCATAAGTATATTTCCACGAGAAACTAGTCCATGGGTACAGTAGAAGACATGTATGAGAATGTCCCTAGGAGCACTGTTCACAACAGAAACAACACAAATACCTGACAATGGGAGGTGACGAATAAATAAACCATGAGAGAGAGAGAGAGAGAGGGCACGCACGTGCGCCATCCTACGGAATATTATACAACAGTCAAAAATGAAGCACTGCAGCAAGCGATAATACAGATAAATCTTAGCAATGTAATATTAAGTGAGAAAAAAAATCCCAAAGGATCACCTCTATGTTAAGAAACAACTAAAATAAAGATATTTACTTCTAAGAATATATAAAACGTTTCTTTAATTATGGCAAAAGCAAAGCAAGGGAGTTATGCTCACAAGATTCATGAGGCCAGTCTTATCTAATTCAGGGATCCTGGGGGCAGGTGCTGCGGGGGGACCCTACAGCTACATGCAGGTCATCCCAAGATGCTACCTTTTCTTTTAGGTGGTGGGTTCCTAAGTGCTTACTACATGATTTTAAATAACTAATTAAATATCTAAGTAAATAAAGATGGGCCATGAATAGACCCCAACAAGGAGAGTTTGGTCATGAGCCAGATGACGGTTACGTGAATGCTATGTACTTAAGGGCCAAAAACAGTGAAAATCAAATGTAGTTCTCCCCCCGGGCTGTGTCAAGAAAGCACACACACCACATGCGTGGACATATCAGGCGCGGGGTGCGCAGGGGCCAGGGCAGGGCACACATGGGAGACACACAGGTGCGTGGCGGCCTAAGGAGCTGCCAGGGCAACTTTGGACTTGTTTTGTGGAGCAAAGCAGCAGCTGTTGTGCCTTCTCTAGCCTGACTCCAGACAACACAGGGCGAGTCCCTCCGTGCCAGGGGTCACCTCCTTCCCGGTCACTGGGCTGGCCCTGGGCGCAGCGTCAGCCGCTCACCTCTCTGGGGTGTGGGTGGCTCCTGGGCAGGTGGCGAGGTTTAAGCAAAGCCTCGTTGTTGTTCCCAGGATCATCCAAGCCTGTGCGGCCCCGCCCTGCCTCATGGAGCAGGGACCCCCCCACCCCGGGCTGGGGCCAGGCCTTTAGGCAGCAAGACAGGTGGGAAGGGGGCTGAGGGCCCCCATCTTTGGGGGACCCACTTTCGCTCAGCTCTGCCGCTGTCCCCTTGGCGACTCAATCCCCTTCTGACCATCCTGCTCCCATTGCTTCAGGGTCCACCTGAGTAGGGACCAGGAATCTTTAGCCTGATGCTCTTGGTAGGTCTGTCTGTGCTGTCACCGGATTTTGAAGCATTGGGGGTGAGAGGGCAGATAAAAGGACTTTTCCATCAGAGATAGAAAAGGATTTGGTTAAATCTGGAAACACATAAGAAGTAATAAGTGCCTTAAGTATTTCGTTTTCATTTAAAACCCTCTCCTTGAGGGTGTCCTCTCATGGGTGTTTAGGTGAATTTCTCGCATAAACCGCACCTGCCAGCATCCCTGTGGTTCCTGTGGGCTCTCCCTGTGTCCCCTTCTCTGTCCCCCAAAGAGCACGTGATGCTCCCTCCCCGGACTACCCCTGCTGGGTCCATGTGCCTGAAAATGGGGCTAAATCCTCTTTCAAGAACACTTTAGATTTTCATGAAAATCAGCCTGGCCTTCCAAGGAGCAGCCACGTGTTGCAGGTGCTTTCTCCAGATCCCTGTGCGGTTAGAGGAGGTGGTGTCCCCACATTCCACAGGTGCTGGGTGACTCACCTGAGCACCGTCAGGGCAACTGGGACTCTGCCCCTTCCTGCCTCCTCAATCCGAGCACCAAGGGGAACTCCCTCTGGCTTTGTAACATTCACCTGAAACATGTTCTGGTCTCTGGGCCTCAGTTTTGTCATCTGTAAGATGGGGATAACAGTCTCTCCCTCCCTGGTTTCTGCCGGGATGAAATGAACCTGCACAGATGAGCAGCGGGCGTGGGTTAGTCCCCTTCCCTCCCTCCTCTGAGGGGTCCCCAAAACTCCCAGACTGGTCCCCTAAGAGGGTCGTAGGCCAGGCTCCTCCTCCTCACCCTCTCTCCTCTTCCCCTCCAGCTTCACCTGGCTCTGCGGACACGTCCACAGGAACATCCTCTCCAAGTTCACGGGCCAGGCGGTGGAGCCGTTTGACGAGGAGTTCCGCCACCTCTACACCTCCTCCAAGCCCATCATGGGCCTGAAGTCCCCAAGGCTGGCCGCCCCGCTCCTTCCCGGAGCCAGCCGCAGCCTCCCCAGTGGCTGCCTCAGCAGCAGCCGCTCCGCCAGCGACCGCACGTCCTCCGACCCCTTCAGCAGCCCGTCGACGGGCAGCAATCCCCACAACCAGAGTGTGTCCACATCCTCGGGGCCTGGCAGTCCTGGGACCCCAAACCCACCTCCACCGCCCCGGTTTCAGCCCTACCAGGGGCCTTGGGGAGCCCTAACTCCCCCAGCCCACTTCTGCCCCCGGCCCCACGATGGCCCGCTCACCCCCTACAGCAACCTCAATGCCTACAGGCCCACGCGGCTACAGCTGGAGCAGCTCGGCCTGGTGCCTAGGCTAGCCCACACCTGGAGGCCCTTTCTGCAGGCCTCACCTCATTTCTGAAGGGTCCCTGTCCCCAGCTGTCCTCCCCAGGGGCAGGGCTGGACATTCCTGGATTTTCTGGTCCAAAGACCCCACCTCGACATCTAGCGGCTTTGAACTGTTTCCCTTTGAAGAGGTACTTGGATGAAATTGTCGCCTTCGTTAGAATGTTCCCAGGCCTGAGACCATCTACTTGCCAGCCCCTGCCAGTCCCTGGGTTCCCCTGTCTAGTTTGGCCTATGTAGCACATTCCAGAAGGTTCCAGGGATGTAGGAGGAAGCTAGAGGACAAAATCATAAAAACAGTTCTGGTGTGGTGGCTCACACCTGTAATCCTAGCACTTTGGGAGGCTGAGGCAGGAGGATCACTTGAGGTCAGGAGTTGGAGATCAGCCTGAGCAAGAGCAAGACCTCTGTCTCTACAAAAAATAGAAGAATTAGCAGGGCATGGTGGCACACACCTGTAGTCCCAGCTACTCGGGAGGCCGAAGCAGGAGGATCGCTTGAGACCAGGAGTTTGAGGTTGCTGTGAGCTGTGATCATACCACTTCACTTCAGCCTGGGTGACAGAGTGAGACTCTGTCTCCAAAAAAAAAAAAAAAAAATCATGAAAACAGATCCCCCGTCTTCCAAAGATCATCCAGGGTTTTCATATTAATGGTCCCCAAATTTCTGTAATGTAAGAAAGGGCAAACACAGCTCAAATTTTACAAATGGGTAAACTGAGGCACCCAAAAGTAGATAGTGGGTTGAGTGCTTCTGCTTCCCAGTACCCAGGAATGCTCCCCTCCCCAAAGATGCAGGAAAGAGTCAGGAGAAGGTGTGGGAACATTCTGGATGTTTCTGAGAGAGTTGGGGAAACTCCTCCCTGGAAAGGCTAATACTGGGGTACCCCTGTGCGATGAGTCAGGGATGAGGCCCCAGAACTTGTGTCTGTAAGTCGTGTGCGGCTGTTTGAAGCTGTACCCGACAAAGATAGGACAAGCTGAGGAGTCTGGGGGGTCAGGTTGGACCAGGCAGTTTAGCAGACTCGGGTTCTTGCTTCACACAGCCTTGGGCTTGCCTGGAGCTCCCTGGAGTCTGGGCTGGACCTCGGGGCTTGAGTTGTCAGGGCTGGGAAGGGCACTGCAGCAGTGCCTGGGCCAGCCGTGATCGACTAGGGAGGGCTCAGCTGTCCCAGACGCAGCCAGCTGTCTCCATATCCAGGTGCCTCCATCTGGCCTGTTCACCTCCTGAGGAACGAATGCTGAACCCTCACCAGCCCCATCATTCATTCATTCTCGATTCACAGTGCCCCTGTGTTCCCAGGGTGGTGCGAGGTCCTGACGGCACAGCCTCGCGGAGTGTGAAGAAGAAATGCAGGATGCTTAGACAGCGTAGAGGAGAGGCAGCCGGCCCAGCACGGAGGCCAGGGGACGCTTCCCAGAGAAAGTGACAGTTAACCCTACGCCTCTGGTGTAGTAGCCGGGCGGTGGGATGTGATGCAGGCTGGGCCAGCGGGAGGGAGGCAGACTCCAGGGCCCCACCCATGCCCACTCCTGCCACCCACAACTCATCTCAGCGAGTGTCTTCTCTCCTGCCTGTTATGCGTGGACACTCGCTCGGCCTTTGCTGTGCAGGGTGGAGAGCACAGAGGGCTGTTCCTCCTGGTGGCCTGATTCCCGACAGCACGTGGCATCCTCTCCCGTCCCGCTCTCCCAGCCACTGTTCTGATTTGTCCACTGTTTCCGGCAAAGGCAGGGGCATTTGGCTTCTGTTTTCTTTTTTTAATTTGTATTCCTGTCTTACTTCACTTTTTTTCTCCTTAGTTCCTGAAAGTAAAAAACAAAAACAAAAAACCAAACCACACTTTGGTTTCTGATGGTTTTTTCAGCTCCAGCCCTAAGCTGCTGTTTCCCAGCCGCCCCTGAGATGAGGGTAGAGTTCCCGGCGGCTGTGCCGTCTAAATTGGATTTCACAGTCTGCTGCGATCGATCCTGTAAGGAGGTAAAGCTTGCTGGGATGCCAAAAGCTCCCAAGCCAGTGTTCCTAAGACCTCCTCAGCCTGTGCCTGCACTGGCCTCAGTCCTAAGGGACAGGGGAGACCTAGTGGCTGGGGACAAGCCCACCTGCACGACCACTGTCCTCGGCGAAGTCTGTCCACAACAGGCTGATCTCCTCTTGGGGCACCTGTAACGTGGCCACGCCCTGCCTGCCGGGAGGTTAGGGATGGTCTGCTCTGGCTAGAGAAATGTGACAGAGGGTCACTTCCAGTGGCAGCTCTGAGAGTCTGGGCACAGTTTGCCACATAGAGCAGTGTCAAGTTGAAGCCCCCCACCCCAGGTTCTAAGCATGAGCAGGATTCTCCCACTCCCACCCCACCGACCTGCAGTGGCTATGTAGTATGAGCAAGAAATAAACCTGTGTTGTTTAAGCCACTGAGATTTGGGGGTTGTCTCTCCCCACACCATGACCCAGCTTCATCTGACTGATACAACCTCTGAGACTCACGGCTGGGCCAATCCTCTGCCTTGGGCTCTCTTCCCAAGACACCATTTCCCCCAGAGGACTAGGAGTGGTTTTACATGCCTGAGTTGGCCGAGAGCCAGTGCAAGTCCTGTTCTAACTTTGAACTCCTACCACACCTGGCCTCATGCCACCTTTACTTCTGCTCCGGGTTACAATCACACCTGTACCTCCCTTGTCAGGGCCTGCTTGTTGGAGACCGTCCTTAAACATAGAGTCCCTACTGCAGAGTGAAGTTCAACAATAGCAACTGAGCACCGCCCACGTGCCAGGCACCATGGCAGCTCTGGACCATGCATCTCTCTGCCCCAAAGAACTCCAAGGGCAGTGGCTGGGAGGGACCTGCTTGCAAACCGCCACCATAAAGAACATGAGAGGATGAAAGAAATATTTTGATAGTCATTTCCTGGGGAGCTCAGTGGAAGTGCTTTCCCCCAACCCGGGATTTGGGATCACAGTACCCACCTACAGGATTGCAAGTTGCTAATGACCAACCCTGCTCCCTGCAGCCTCTCTCTCCTGGAAATCATCTGTTGCGTTCACTTGGTCCTCGTCAGATACTGATCTTGTATCTCTCCGTCTGCACTGTAAGAGCCCAGAGGCCTCTGCAGACCCCGTGGGATGCCACAGCGGGGCCTTGGACAGTCCAAGTGCACAGTCAATGCTCCTGGTCCAGCACTGGTGAGGACTCTGCTCCCGCAGGGGACGTGACCGCTCGGATACTCCGGGACTACCCTCACTGTCCTCTCTGCAGACACAGGGGAGGAAGGTGGCCCTGTGCTCCCACCTTCACTTGGTCGCCCTGTTTCGACCTGTCATAAAAGTGCCAGAGCAGCTTCTTCAAATGCTTCATTTTCTGAACTGGATCCAAGAAGCTGTTGGACATAGAGAAGCTGTCACTCGCTTTCCCAGCTTCCTCCTGAGGAGTGTCTGTGTGTCAGAAAAACTGTTATTAGAGAATGTAAACATCGCAGACACACACATCCAAGCATAAACACAACCTCCTTTATGTTGTCGCTCATTGTATTTTGTTTGAGACACACACATTGCTTCTCAGGCACGCCATCCTTCCTTGCTCCGTAGGGCGTGCTGAAGAGGGATGTGCAAATGGTGACGCAGTCTGCGACGCGGACGGAGAGACCAGGGACAAGGGTGTGACGGTGCAGTGCATGCACAAGTCCAGCCACAGCTCTGCTTTCCCAGGCCGCCTTCCTCCCGTCCACTCCCCAAGTCAGGCAAGGGCACCTTTCGCAGAGTCACACACGGACACCCTCTAGGCTAGCGGCCCCGGCTTGAGAACACAGATGTCTGGACCCTCCCACTGAACGGCCGTGAAGAATCCCCAAGCCCTCTGAGCTCCTTCTTCCCTGTCTCACCTGAAAAGCAAGCGCAGGCGGCTCCCTTGACCCTCAGGAATGAAGAGGAGTACGACAGGCCCACCGTGGAGGGGAGGAAGGCGCTACAGACTAAGGAAAGGGGCAGCCAAGAGAGAAGGGAACTGGTAAGAAAGTCTTCTCAGGGGGTGGGGACGCTCCCTGTTTGGAAGGGTGCTGTGCTGCTAGGACTGCCCTAACGTAGATACCAGACTGGGCAGCTAAGACAACAGAAATGTGTTTTCTCATAGCTCTGGAGGCTGGAAGTCCAAGATCAGGTGCCAGAGTGGTTGGGCTCTTCTATGGTCTCTTTCTCTGGCTTGCAGACGGCTGCCCCCCTGCTGCCCTCCACATGCTTGTCCCTCTGTGTGCCTGCGACCCCGGTGTCTCCTTGAGCCTCCATCTCCTCTTCTTTTTCTTTTTTTTTTTTGAGATGGGGTCTTGCTATGTTGCCCAAGCTGGTCTCAAACTCCTGGACGCAAGTGATCTTCCTGCCTCAGCCTCCTGAGTAGCTGGGACTATAAGCATGTGCCACCAGGCCCAGCTCCATCTCTTTTTCTTATTGGACTGGGAATTTAAGGAGCTGTGTACAAATGGCAAGTTGACAATGGGTGGACTTAAGATAGCTAATTTTATGTGTTACCTTGACTGGGCCATGGGGTGCCCAGATGTTGGACAAACATTATTCTAGGTGTTTCCATGAGGGTATTTCTAGATGATATTAACATTTGACTTCATAGACTGAGTAAAGCAGATTGCCCTCCCTAATGTGGGTGGGCCTCATCCAGGCAGCTGAAGGCCTGAATAAAACAAAAAGATCAACCTTCCCCCGAGTAAGAGAATTCCTCATGCCTATGGCCTTCAAACTGGGACACCGATTTGTTTTCTTGCCTTTGGACTTTGAACTGGGTTTCAAGCCTGCTGGCCTTCAGCCTGGAACTACGCCATCGCTCTCCTGGGCCTCCAGCTTGCTGACTCACCCTGCAGATCTTGGGACTCGTCAGCCTTCATAACCACGTGAGAGGCAATTCCTCATAATAAATTCTTTCCATAAACATACATACACACACATATACACACAACACATACACACATATATACACATAGACACATATACACACATAGACACATATACATACACATG